CGGTTTGCAGCAGTGTGCTATACGCAGCAAAGCTGCAGGAATTACTTCTTGGTTTTAACATGACAGCCTTGGGCTCTGTCCACACCAAGAAAGCAATTAGGGCTGCCTCATTCTTCTGACAAATTGCAGGGTGTTGCCTCCATTTCTGCAATTTTTTTTGTGGGCTGGAGTGAAAACTGAGTAAATCCAATGGACAGAAACCCACCGACACCTTTGGGCCTTGGATCAGCTCCAACAACCTTGGTAGCTTATTACTGTCATACTGGCTAACCTTTAACTGGATCCACAGGACCCACTCCCAGCCACCACGTACTTTGCTCTATGAACAGTCTCTGTTTGCATTGCCTTTACAAACGAGCACTCGAGACGGACACGTTTCCAGAGTGCTGAACACAGAAAGCAGCGACAACTTTAATGTTCTTGGAAAGACCTGAATACCATACAGAAAAAAATGAGTTTTCATGTAAAAAGCGATTTTATTGTACATTTTCTCCAAAGTTCATAGTGAAACTTTCCCATTATTGAAGGGAAGGAAATATAAATCAGGCAAGCTTATACATCAGTAGTGAAACATGCCCTTCACAGTGTGGCTGCAACCTGTCCTTGCAAACTTGACTATGGTTCTAGCATTCCATCTTTGCAACGACAGAGAAAATTGTACTGTTTAAAGAGCACTGAGACAAAGAGAAAAACATTAAAAAGACAAGATGGGCACAGATATAAAATAAATTAAAAGCATCTGTAAAAGTTTCTTTCCATATACAAAATAAGTTTTCCCTTTTTTTTTTTGTAATTTCCATTTTTTTAAATTGACATTGTCTGTACAAACATTAACCTTTCAACAGAAATCATTTACAAAGGCTGTTTTTACAAGGAGAAAGGGGTTGCTAAACAAAATCTCAGTCTCCTGCAAGCTGATGAGCATCTCCTCGGGATGAACATCTGAAGCTTTTGGGCCCTGCAGTGGAGGACAGTGATTTGCAACTCCAGGGCTGCTTGGCACTTCAGGAGAGGTGCTCTGCTCTTTTCAAGTTCAGGGCCCCCAGACAGAGGAAAAAAACAGAGGCTGCCTTGTAAACCCCCGTCAGGGAACAGTGTCGCTGGTTCTAGGGGGCAAGGCTTCTGAGTCAAGGAATTGCCATTGCAGGACAAGGAAGTTTTATTTTGCACTCCATATTTTGCACACTTACCATGAGATTCCCTATTCAGCCTCAAAGAGGGGGGCTGGCAAAGGCTTTCTGCAGCAGCGTCCTCGCAGTCTGCTCCTCACTGGGGCCTTTGGTCCCAGAAGACCCCAGCTGAAGAGAGAGCTTGCGTAGCTCAAGACAGCCTCCTGCCCATCTTTTGAGCCAGCCTAAAAACAATGTGCGGGCAACAACGCTACTGTATAATTAGATGGGAAGCAGAGCCATTTATAGATTAATAGTATTTCAAAAAACAGAACAGGTGGGAGAAGCCCCCCCATACCAATTTGAGATTAAAATTGTGATTAATAACATTAGTTGGTCATTGTTTTAAAGACCCTACTAACACAAAGTTACACACAGAAATCATTGCCTCTGTGATTAATACATTACTGACGCCACATATCGCTTTATTGAGAAGGTTTCATTTAAAAACACAAACACAAAACAAGTTGTGTGCATAAAACGTCTCACTTATATATGGTTACCTGAAGATACTCTCTTGGCATAGAGTTGGAAGAGGCAGATCGCATTTTCCTTAGAAGTTTATACCTATTCTCTATGGCACAGTTCACAGCAAAGTCTGGCTGCATCCCAGTGAAAACCAAGCATAACATACTCATGCTCATCTTGAGTGATGCTTTTAAGGTCATTTCCAGGCTGTCTCATCGCAGCACTGGAAAACATTGCCTATAGCCTTGAGCTTGGCTTCAGTCCCGAAGACTGGCTCAGCACAGTTGCCCCAGACTCTGTTTTGGAATGCACAAACTTGGGAGCTTGGCTGCCAACACCCTGTTCTGCCCTGGGGAACCCTGCATCCATCCAAGGGGGGCATGTCTGGCCTCTGCATCCTCCTCCGAGGAGCCCTGTTCCTGGCAGTGCTTGTGCCAGCCACCGTTCACAGACTGAGCTGAGCTTCAGCCCAAGAGCCAGTCCCTCCAGCTTGTCCCCAGCAAGCAGGACCCTGCAGCCCAGTGACTCCTGACCTTGTGGGGTCCCAGTTCCTCCAGCGTTCTCCTGGGGGACTGGCTGCCCTTCCCTGAGGCAGCAGCCTCATTTGCAGTATTACGACCTCCCAGCCCTCCCTGGGGAGTTAGAAAGTTGTGAGGAACCTTCTCCTCTGTGCTGTGTTCGGGAGGTGTCATCTAGTGCCGTCGTCAGAAAGGAGAATGCTGTAATGCTCACACAGGGCGACGTGGGGAGAAATCCAGCCCTTTCTGCTGAGGATAGGAGCTGCGCACCTCAGGAGCATCAAAAACACCCTAAAGGAAATGATTCTGACGCTAGAGCGTTACTTGTCACCAGCCAGCTCACCCTGAACAGAGGAATGGGACGTTTGGCACAACACCGAGGGTGCCTTGCCAAGCTCTATGAAATCTATTCGGCAACAAGCTCTCTACAAATCAGAGGTTAGATTTAGTCAGGTTTATTGTTTGAGCTTGTGTGTTTTTTAACAGTAGCTGTTGTCACAGTTAATTGTGTAAATGATGGATTTATCTGTGCAGCTCTTAAAAAAGACAACTATCAGAAACCACTGCATGTTTTTGGCTGCAGGGCCTGACGTCTACTGAAAATCTGAGCCTGCTTCCAGCTTAGCTGGCGGCATCCCCCACAAGTCCTAGTGATGCTGGGCCCAGGAGAGGACCAATGGATTAAAAGGTGAACCTTACGGTACAGGCAACCTGTGCACATCACTGCTTCTGTCCTACAGTCAAGACAGGAGCCCACACAACTCCCCACCAGACAGACAGGCTCTTTCTCATCACCAGCACACGGCAGTGAAAAGCACTTTGTTGTCTGCAACTGCCTTTTCAGCCAGGAGAAAAGCACAGCTTTTTTCCTCTAGGTTTTAAAAGTCCATCTGATTTGCAGTGTCTGACTTTTCTCCTGCCTATGGAAGTGGATCAAATGAACCTTGATCCAATCGTACACAGCCTCACCCTTAGTGCTTGGTTTTGATGGCAGTTCTGCTCCTATACGCTGAGGATGGCTCTTATTCTCTAGAAATGGAGACTTGTCTCTTACAGTTACAGGGAACAGATCCTTCAAGGCAACACGCTGCTACAGAGCTCTCAGAATCCTAACGTACAGCCATAGGGTCGGATAGCTGTGCTAACTAGCGTTGCTTAATTGAAGCCAATAAAGATGTGTCAGGTTGCACTCTGGGCATCTGACTGCAGGGGTACGCTGCTCAGGCAGGGCCAGGGAGGGGCTGCAAGCATCACCTGCATCTGGGACCAGTCTGTGCTCTTGTTAAGTAAACTCCTGCCAGCTTCCACTGAGACCTTGTGCAGGTAAAAAGCGATTGCTGAAAAGATCCCTTGGCTCCCTGTTTCGCCTCCACACCCTCGCACAGGCACACGACTCAGACTGGTAAACACGACAGCACCAGTCACCAAACACAAAACCCAATGACAGAGTGTTTAAACACAGCTCACCTAACTATGAAGCTGTAACAAGGCATTTACAGGGGAAACTGTTGTCATTTTCAATACACAGGGGAACTGCTGACTCCAAAGTACAGAATTTAACTCTCAAGATGATGGGGAACGAATTTATTCCCTATGAGTATTTACCCTTTAAATACACTATTTCAGAGAGCCAGTTATGTAAAAAATTTACAGAAAAGGTTGTTCAATGTTTACTCTGAGTGAACTAAAACATCGCTCTTACCAGCCAAAAGTGCTTTAAAAAGCATCATCCTCTACAGATCATGTTGCCGGAAATGGAACTGGGGTTCTGTCTGAAGCACTTCTGTGAACATTTACTCCATAGCAGAACAAACTTTTTGCAGCTGTCTCTGAGATTCATTAGATCTTTTTTTTCACCACTTGTAGTTTCTCAAATGATTTTTTTCTGGTGGATAAACGTTTTGTGTTTTTATTGTGCAAAACCTGCTCACAAAAAAATCTTAAATTGACAGCATAGGTACAACGAATTTGATTTTCAGAGTAGAAGTGAACTGAGATAAGAAAAAAAGGAAAAAAAAAAAGCTATCTGATTAATGTAACAATCAAAACTCACCAACCAGAGCCAGTTTTGATCAGATAATCATAGTGAAGGCCTACAGATAAGAATTATGCACCAAATAATTTCATGTCAGGAATCAACTACCATAATTTACTCTTTGATTATTTGCAAGTATGTTCTAGCATAGGTGTCAAGTCACTTAGCCGTGTCACTGAGTGTGATACTCTCATACTCTTAGCCTGCTGGGTTTCCATAGTGGCATGAAAGAAGTCTTTGCTTTTGAGATAGCAGTAACGTGTTCTGTGCTCTTCAGACCAAGGGCACTGACATAAGCTGAATTACGAAGAATATGTTAATGAAAATGAATACATACACACATGTAGTCAGTGACATGTCATACCAAGGAAATATATGTCTAAGCTGGATTATCTAAGGTTCTTAAAATGTCACATTTGTTTTTCTTACTTGCTGCACTACTCAATGACCTAAGGAAGAAAGCTTAGCTTTAAAGTGAATAACAGTATATTTCTCATCTCCCTCCCCATTAGTCACCATAAGAACGGAGACAAAAATTAACAGCTACTGCTGTTTCCAAAATCTTGTACAAAAATACATCAATATGTCCTTCTGGCAGTCTCAAACATCTTGAAGAGTCTTCTGTAAATTCCTCTTTCATCTCTCGACTTCATCAGAAACAGTCAGTCCTTACTGGTAAGACTTCATGTCTTAGTCAAATTCGGAGACAAATGAAGTTCATAATCTCTTTCCTTGGAACTGCTATTCGGAATCCATTCCAATTCCATCCTCGTTGTTTGGATTTCTTTACATTTCTTTCTTTTTTGTCCAAAGGAAATGCATTGGTAGTGCAAACAAAAAGTAGACATCATGAAACCTCCCCCCACAAAAAAAACAGCAAGTGATCACCTCAGCATTTTGAAAGGGTCTCCTGAGATGTTATCTGCATGCGCAGGATTCCACTGTCATGTTGGGGTACACCTTAAGAACCACATTTTTATTTTCATCGAAGAATAAAATGCTAAGAGAAGACATTTTGTCAGGAACGCAGCAAGGCTCGGGAATGCCCGGGACAACCCCGACGGCTCTCACTATACTCTGGATGGTGGCATGGTTGGAAGGCTTCAAAGCCTGAAAGAGAAAGATAAAGCACAAAATGTAACCGCACCCATGTTAGAATGGACGCATATGCTCTAGAATAAAACTTATCTCTTGAAGGGCCCAGCGGAGACGCAATAGCTGACCAGCTGTAACATACGTCTACTGCTTGACCCTTTCCAGTTGCCCCCACAGGTGCCCTGGGCCAGCAGCAAGGAATGTGCATCTGGCCTGGTTCTTTTGGCCACTGGATTGCCCCCGTTGCTCCACCGCTTTGGGCTAGACCGTCCTGCTGGGAAGAGGGCTGTGGGCTCTCTGACGGACGTGCCCTCCCAGGAGAACGCCCGGGCAGCAGACCTTGCAGCAAGGCGCACGTACAGGTCAACGTCATCTCTTCTGAGTGAATCAGGTTACATGTGGTCTGCAATTTAGTCTTAAAACTTGCATGCCTGGGAGTGAGGCAGCCAAAGTGCTGGCAGGCTGAGTCATTAGGGGAGCAAAATAAACATAACTCGTAGGCTGGGAAGTTTGAATAGTGGAACGCGAGCGTGCCAGGAAAAACAAAAGCGGATAAAATGTGTACAGATGGGAGATCGGAAGTATTTTACACCACGATGCCAATTGTTCCAGTTTGCTCTCGTGCAAGGTTAGATGGTTTTGCTCATTCTTACAAGCCAAATCACTTCTCATCTGTGATATACATCACCAGTGACACTGCTGAATAACTAACCTCCCAAATCCCATGTCAGTTGTTCCTCATGTTAAGGTGACACTTTGCTCCAAGGGACGTTTCCTGGATTTACAGTCATGTAAACAGAAACACATTTTGGCTTGATATGAACAAAAAGTGCGGCTGACCAGTGAAATAACTCTATTTGTTAAAAAAACCCAGCATATATTAATACACTAATAAAAATTAAAAATTGATATATTAATAGACATGAAAAATGAATGTATTAAATTTCTCCTCTGAGCCCCCAAACCCGTCCAAGTATCTACATGAAAGATAGGCGAGCATGAAAAATGCAGAGGATGCAGTTTTTAGACAAAGACTTTGGGTTTTGTTAAAGAGTGAAATTTTGACAATGCTTTTTAGAGCTCTTCTTACACGTAGAACCTGGGAGTCATGTAGTTAAATATGCTCAGTCAGGTGAAATACATGGAACAAGATCATCTGGGACAAATTTGCAATTTGCAGTTTTGCTGAGATGACAGATGATTTGTTTTTGGAAAAATCAGTCTTAAGGGTTAGATATCTTAACTGCTTGAGGTGTCCTAATGACCTTGCATGCAAAAAGCGCAGAAATAATGGTGAGATTCTGGCTCATTCTGTCATTTGTGTAGCAGTTTAGTACGTTTAGGAGTAGCTGCTTCAAATTCTGCTGGCAGTACACACGGCTGTCTAACCTGTCCCTCCTTACGGCAACATAGCTCATGACTAATGCCAACGGTATTTTTCTTCTGTCTCATGAAGACAACCATTCCTTGAGTTCCAACAGAAATTAATCAGAAAGGACTTCTTCCATATCACGTTGCTGAAACCAGTCTCAAGAGAGACCTGGAACCATTTGACACAAAACTGAAAATAATTCACTGGGGAGCATTCAGCTATTCTTTATGTACCCATTAGACATAATTTGAATGTTTTTTCTTCTTCTAATGAGGAGCCTATTTTGCATGCAGGGAGACTGAGCACCAAATGGTGTGCACATCTCCTGCTTCTTTTTATCCTCTGAGAGACTCGGAATTTTCTCAGATGTACTTAGGGCCCCAGCTCATTTTAAACACAGACATTATATACAGACCCTGATCTTTTGCCCCTGTTGCGGCTTAAGTTTACTATCATTGCTTATCAGAAGAATGAGACACACATCTGTTGTGATACTCTGTTTAAAATACAAATGCAAAGCTTGCTGCATCATCCTCTTAACGGCTGTAGGTTTCCCAACACGGTTACAAAGACATTACTCTCAATCTAAGTAGCTGATGTCAAGACAGACATTTCTATTTGTTTGTTTGATTTTAATTCAAGGGTACCTATACTCCGCAGCAGTATTTTACAGGGATTGATAAAATGTCTTACATTAGTATACAATTGAACTTTATGTAATATATTTCTGCCTGCAAAAGAAACTGAAAGCTCCAGTAGCATCCAGGCTTGTTTCCTCACTCAGCTGCAGTGCAGCATTCTCCACAAAAATAACTGGGAGCCAAATAGATGCCCTAAGCCTGCTGATCAGACGTCAAAAGGTAAAACATCTACTGAGACGCTCTCTCCCACTGCCGAGGGTACTGGAATTAAAACCGGGTCTCAGAATATGCTGCGTTAAGATCTCATTGGAAATCCTTTGCTTCAGATGTGGAATCTGTACCACTAAAAACACTACAACACTGAATGGTACAGAGCCGATTTCAAGAATTGTCTTGGGTATCAGTGGGAATAGCCTGGATACATTCTGTCATTGCCCGATAAAAGAATTATCTCTACATCATACAGGTATCTTCCAATACAGAACATCCTCCATACTGACTTGAAGTCTGTCTTGAATAGACAGTCCCTGGCCCTTAAGACGCAGTCTTGAAGATAACTGGCTTTGGCATAACTCTGCTTCTGCCAGCGAGGAATTTAACTGTCACTGGAGTAAAATCTGAAGGCGCGTGCTTCTCAGAAAACCAAAATTCACCTCAGAGTACTGACCTGGCACAGTGCCCTGCACAAGGTGGGTGAGTTAGGTCCCTGCCTCGGGGCACCTCTGCTCTGTCCAGCACACGCTAATGCAAAGCAGGCAGAGATTTTCTTCCAGGAGGGGAGCAGCAGGGGAGGCCAAGAGGAGCAGCAGGAGGCAGAAATGCTGAGCTGACTCCAGACTGTCAAATCTGTGACTGAATCCAGCTCTTCTGGTTTAACAAAAATCAGAGCAACACTCTTTTATGGTTGGGATGAAGTTTTTATAACTAAAGCTGCAACTGGAAATGCTAGCCCAGTCTACTTAAGCAGAGGGATACAACAGAAATTTTTGTAATTTATGTGTCCTTGAAGTTAGAATGGAGGAAGTCTAGGTCCAGCACTTTTAAAATTTCTAACCTGTATGCTGAATTACTGGTTTGAAATAGCATGGTTCCCATCAACAATAAATGAAAAGCCCCAACGCGATTCATTCGAAGGTAATGACTCTATCTCTTCCTATTCCCTTTCATTTTCAACTTTGATCCAAAACCTGAAAGCCTGTCATTGCTGTCTGAGGTACTCAGGTAAATCATCTCCTTCAAGCACAGACTCCTGCCTTCCTCGGCTTGCTTTCTCTGGGCTCCACCACCCTTGGTACGTTTCTCCCCCTGTCATTTTCACAGGGTGACTCCTTTATGTCCCTAAGCCACTGAAATTCCACATGAATTCTGGAACTAACTGCCAAGGCTTCACTGTGGCAGGGGTAAGGACTCGAAGGTGAGGATGCAGTGAGACCAAAAGCCCTTTCTTTATTGAAAACTCCTGTAGGCATTATTTGTCTGTACCCCTCATTTTAGGCCAGCCTTAAATACTGCCTCCTGCTTGCAGGTTTTGGTAGGCTCCAGTGGGGCACATGCTGCTAAAAATGACATCGTACATTTGATTTCCAGGAGTTGAGCTCATCCACCTAACTCATGGGGCTACAAGCACATCTCCCCTCTTGCTACTCACATGCAACAATCTTCATAAAAAACAGAGGTTATTTCAGGAGACAGCTGGCCATGATCTATTGCTTTTGGATCCACTTCGTCTGTCATAGAAGTGATTTGCTTGACTCTTCTGCTTACACCTCGAGCACCCAGCCACTCCTGTAGCTTCAAGAGTTTCTCTGTCATCGTGACAGTAACGCCTCCTGAGGCACACGTTTTTCCTAGAGCACGCTCTGTTCACTGACCCCAGTGCGGGTCCGGCACCAGAGGCTCCTTTGCAGCATAACAGCTACTGTCTAATAAGCAATTTTCTGGGCCTGGCTGGTATTATGTTTATTAAACAGGTTAATAACAAGTTCACACATTATTAGCACTACCCAGGAAATGTTTTATGGCAATTTGGGTTCTGGGAAAACTAATACCATATATTTTTTAAATTGTCTTTACAAGCCTGTCTTTTTACTAGCTTTTCTAACCGCTACTCCTTGCAGTATAAGACAAAGGATGTAACTTATTTACTATATCCCAACGTGTAACAGGTGACCAGCTGCCTTTAACTGACAGAGGAGAGAAAATGCAGTTTACAGTAACACATGGTGCAAAAGAATCAATAAAGACTGTACCTTTGGAATTGGGAATTGGCATTCTCCTGAGCAGTAATAGGCATCAAAAGATTTTGGGGAAATAATCCACTCGCTCCAGCCAATGTCCGCAAAATCCACTTTGAGATAGCGCCGGGCACAATACCTTGGTTCGTTCCACTGCTTCCTCCTTGCTTTCTTCAGCGTTTGCTCATCAAACTGCAGAGTCTGGCTCTTCTGGTGATGGTTCTTCCTCTGCTTTTTCTTACTCTTTGCCCTCTCTGCTAACCGTGGTTGGAAGCTGTTGTAGGGTTTCCTGTCTTCCCATCTCTCATCCTCATTGTACTGGTACTCGGCTCCTGGAAGCTCATTATTCTGCAACGGCAACAGGATATTTGTGGAGCGTTTTCGCCGCCGCTTCCCAAGGCTGCTCTTCACGTGGTTTTCTGGCCTGGGAAAGGCCCTTGACAGAGGATTACGGTGGCCCTGCAAACTAGAGACAACACTCTCTGCCTCTGAAATAGCAGAATCATTGGCGTAAATCAGAATGTAGGGTTCATAGGGAGGTGGTACCCTTTTCCAGGGGTGATGGCTGGTCAGATCCATTTTGATGCTGATCAGGAGCTCATTGTTTTGTTTTGCTTCATGGAGGAGCTGAGTGATATCCTTCCACTGCCAGGAAAGGACATCCTGGTAAGCAGTGGAGACATTTATTAGCAAATGTCCCAGGCTCCGAGACTGGTTCCCAACAGAAGGAAAGGTCCAAACTGAAAGATGTATTTGAGTTTCAGGTTTCCTGTGCCTGTGATGGGAGCACCCTCTGGGTTGGGAACAGTTCCACCCAGCGTCCTGCAGATCACCAATATAAAAATACACCGAAGCTGACAAGATATTTTCAGACTTGGTGAGTGATGTCAAGTTAAAAATGTACATCTCCTTGCTTTCAGGGCTCCCTAGGAGAATAAATATTTAGATAAGAATACGGGCATTTCAAAATATTATAGAAAACAAAAGGATTGAGTTCATTGCTTGCTAGGTTATACATTAAGTTCATGGGAAACTTTCACCCAGTGCTGTGGGAACAGGTTTAGGCCACTATTCACAATAATTACCAAGCTGGTACACTGGTGACTGTAAATCACACTTTCAGCCTTGTTTCCTTGTAATACCCATCTCCATCCAGAAGTACTCATACATTCACTACTACTCCTCTGACTTCAGGAAACAAGCTAGGTCACAGGAACACAGCTTGATAACAGATGCCCTAACGACTGTGTCTATCATCCAGACATTTGAGCGATGCCATGGGAAGATTTTGCTCTTTTGTCTTCCTCTTTTTGTAACATTTCCAACCCCCTCCCTCTCAAAATGCACTTAGGTGACTACGGCTGCCCTGTGCTGACTAAAGAATTGTCTTTCTCTATCCAAGACAATCGGGCCATCAATGGGATTATCAATGGCACTGAGCCATGCCTTAGCCCAGACCTAGCTGAGCCTGGGGAAAGGATCCCACTGTCTTCACTAGGCACTGCATCATCTGTAACTTTCATTGTACTGTTGAACCACAGCCTCAGTCAGAAAGACAAGATTTGCTTCCCTACTGGTAGAGGCTCAACATGGCAGTAAGCATGAGGAAAAGCCTGGATCCAAATGGGGCCTGACTGTCAGTGTTGCCACAGGCTCTCAAGTGTATGGCCAGGTAAACCCTTGAGCTCTGACTGCCAAGCTGTCCAGTGCAAAAAGAGCCTAGGTGGTTCCTTCAAACCTTCCACTCTGCCCCTCTGTGATCCAGGCATCACCGAGAAGATAGGGCTTTAGGGCCTGGGTGGCATTTACTCTTAAGCTCCTAAAGTTGTCAAAGAGACTATTAAAGAGTGACCCAAAAACATTTACCACTCCGTACAGCTACGTATGTGTATCAGGATGCAAAACAGGTAAGCAAATACAGAAAGTACTACATATTTCAAAAGCTAAACAAAAAGACAAATTGAAATATTGTTACAAATGATGTTTCCTCTTGATATTAACTATTCCTTCATTAAAATATGATCAATCTATTGGTCCCTCAAGTGGTCAGTGACCTTTGCATGCACAACTGGGTCTTCAGGACCCAAAGCCCTTCGCCACAGCAAGGTTAGAGTTGGGCACAGAAGGAAGCATAAAATTATTGACAACAGTGAAGGAATGTGGCTCGCCTCTGAAGACATGGAGAGAAGAAACACCAGAATAGAATCACTGTTTAATCATTTTTAATGCTTGGATGTCAGCTCTGTAGAAAGAGACAATTCACCATTTATAATGAGCTAAAGATACACAAACTTGTTTGACAGCTAAGCCAGGCGCTAATCACAACAGAAGTTTCCCTCTAGAATAATCAAGCCCAGGACTGCTTCAATTATACTGGGTAAATTTCATCAATTTTCACAACAGTCAGAGTTAGAAAGTATTCACTAGTATAGGTGAAGGCAGGTGGACAGTACTAAAACATCCCCAATAACCAAAAGAAAGCCAAACTAAAATGTTATTTTTACGGGGTGTGGTGGTCGTGGCAAAATGCACCCGCTTGCCTCTGTGCAGAGGGAACAAGCCAAGGACTGTACTTCATTGTCGGGGTGCTGCTCTATCAATGAGGAGGGATATGGTGGGATTATCGGGGAGTTTCCACAGTCGTGAAATTAACAAAGTCTACCTAACCACAGGTATCTCACACAAACCCAAAGATGGTCTCCTAACTCAGGCTGATCTGTGAAAACATTTATCTGACTACTTTAATCCCCTGTAGGGTGCAAGAGAAGGGCTTGGGGTAAGGTTTAATTTTTGGTTTAAAATTTCCTGGTTGGACTGCAGTTATGTCTGTCCTTCTGAGTGGGAGAAATAAGGGATCCAAATGTTATGGTGCTATTGAGAGAGATAAAACCAGGCAGTATGGAAAAGTCAAATACATTTAAGGAAAGGTATGGTCTACAGCCCCCAAAAGGGCTGGAAACAACCCAATACGTTAGGAAAACAAGGGAGTACAGATTTAAATGCTGCTTTGACATCATGGCATGTCAAAATCCTCTCTGAAGGCTGAAGATAAGTTATAGTTTACAGAGCTTTTTTGCTGTTTTGTTTTGGTTTTTTTAATTTTTACTTTTATTCCAAGTAATGACAAGCACAGACACACCTGTGGACTAGAGATGCACAGCCTCCCCACTTCCACCCTCAAAACTGTAATAAGTCGCCTGCCCAAGCCAGTGAAAAGAAGTCATTTGCAGTACTGATCTTTCAAGGATTTTGACAGATTTGTGTTTTAAGTGACATTCTGTGCTTCCAGGCGCTGGCTGATACTACAGCTGCTAATGACGTCCAGGTAAGTCCAGCAACAGACTGTCCCTCTGCCTGCCCGCTAATCCCAACAGTCAAGTGGCCTCTTTTTCTAAACACTTTTTCTAACCAATATTATAACCAATATATTAGAAAAGCAAGAATCAGTCTTGCTAGAAAGGCGGAAGCCTTCTCCCCAGTGTATCACATGCATTGCTTCATGAAATTAGGGAAAAAACAAACACTTTTCTCAGTGAAACAGAGGAAAAAAAGGCCAAATAATTTATGGAAGACACCCCTGTTTACACATTCAGTCTAACTTGATGGTGGATCACACAGGTTCTGGTAGGCAAGTTCCCAAGAGCTGAAAACTAACGTACCAAAGCCATCCAATTTCCAGCTACTCCTTATGCCTGGGGTACTAGATTTTCTTTGAATTTCATCCTGCTTTTAATTCTGCAAGCCAAAACCAGCTATTTATTACATTTTTACTAAGCACACAGGAGGACCTGACCTCTGCTTGGTTTGTAATCACTAATATAATAAGGTTAATATATAAATTGGCAGAGCATTAAGTGTATCAGTCTCAGGAACCAGAATTTATGACGTCTCATGAGCGCCTGTTAAAGAAGTCATTACTTAAATCGCTGTTGTATGTTAAATGACAACTTTTGATTTTTACTAAGAATTCCACTTAACAAATACTGCCTGCTCTAAACTGGCATATTGTAGTGCAATGCAAAACAAGCTGCTTTTGTTTATAAGGAAACTCTAGATGGCATGAAACAGACACAGGAGGAATATACACTTTTGATTAAAAGCAAAACGCAAGAAGCCACCCATAGTATTTAAGTCTACACCAAAGACTAAGTACTTGCAGTAGGTGGTGCTATTTTCTTACTGAATGACCTCCAAGCTCAAACAGCTCTGAAGAGTTTTCGGATAATTCAGTCTGTGAAATCATCTTGAAACCAGTTACTAGCAGCCAGCCCAGATGTCTACGGATTTCCTGGACTCCAGCTTAGAAAAACCAAACTGTGTGACCTGGGTTTCTGTCACAACTTAGAAACACTGTGTCAAATACATCCTTTGTGTGACAGGGATACGTGGCTCTCAGATGTGAGCAATGCACTGAAAGAAGCGTTCCCCAGGCTAGTAATTACCCTGAAAAATATCAGACACATAAAGGAAGATTCAGCTTTAAAATATGTACACGTGCACTTTTTCCTCAGGAAAATTTAATTTCACTTAAATGAAACTTTGTCCTTAAACCCAGAGGACAGAAACTGCTGAAAATCTGTCCCCACAATAACATAGTTTAAACTATTAGCCAAGGTCAGGAGCACAGTTTAAACTTTTAACCAACACCAGGAGGTACTGAGTACCATCTAAGAACGTTTTATTGTGATGTGGGAAGCTTTCCATAAGCCTCATCCAGCTTCCTCTACTGACACCAAACGTCACTGACTGATGTGAGCTGAGGCTTTAGTCTTTATAATTACTGACACTGATAACTCCTCAGATAGACAGTCTGACCGATTTCCCCCTCACTAATCCCAAAGAACACCAAACAAAAACCCAAGCCAGAGCCATGTAGTGCTTTAATACCTTGTAAATGTTCAATAATCAGTAATTCCTAGGATGCTGCCATCAACAGCTCTGTTTTAAAGGGAGGGGAGGAGGGGACCAGCCTGCAGGGTGAAGTCCATCAACAACTGCTCAGCTGTCAGCGGAGAGAGCCGGACTGCCTGAGCTCAGCTACAGCTTCTGGACAGTTTGTCCTCGATAAAAAGACTTTTAAGGTCTCAAAAGTAGCAAGATGTACCTGCGAGAAAGCCCTCTATTGCTCTACAGGTATGAAGTCAGCTTTGCAGGTTAAAGGAAGTAAAACACAGGCCCCAAAACCTATGTCCTAGAAGATCATGGTGTCACAATAGCGCTTCTCTTATGTTTCCAGTATCAAAACAAAACTGGTGCAAACAGCAGCTTTGCAGCAGCTTTCTTTACACCAGCTGCCAAGAGAAGCAATGGTCTGTTGCAGACAGATATCAGTACGAGATGCTGAAACACGACCCTTCAGAGGGATGCTGGACAGGAGGTCGCCCTGGCTCTTAGGGAAGATGCCATGAACCCTGAGTGTCCTTGCACTGCAGAAGCAGCTGCTGGAGCAGCCTCACCGTCCGGTCCACCACCTCAATGCCTGGCAAGACTCTGTCTGCTGTCTCCGAGCAGCTGCACTTGGTAAATCTTGCACTTCTTCACAGCAGTGTACAACGCAGTTCAACAGCAACTCAGTATCATCTGAACAGCAGTAACTTCCCAGCTCACCTGATGTACCTCCCAACTCTGTGAGCAAATTACTGTAAGAGCACCACCACTTGAGCTGGTCTTTTAGTTCTTACTTAAAAATGAGTCCTGCCAACTCAGATTTGCTCTTTTGTAACACGAAATAGGAAGTGCAGAAGACTTCTCAGCAACAAAGCAGAGAAGGAGAAGATTTAAGAGGAAACAAGCAAAGGAAAACTATGTGGAACAGAAATACATGTAAGGAATACACTGCTACCTTCCAGAGGCCAGATTTTAATGGTAATCTCTGCTCCCCTTCATAAATTACTGCTAGCCTGATGAGCAACTTTAAAGATC